TTTTTTTTGTCTTGCTTCCCTCTCTTGCTGCCATTCTCTTACTCTTCGTATGGCTTCTCTTTCTAACTCTTCCGCCTCCTGCTGCTTTCTTCGAAGATAATCATTGTAATCATTGCTGCTTGGATAATTTCGAGTGTTCGTATAATTGGAATTAGAATTATTCGTGTAACTTGTTTTGCTTCTGGAAGATTGCGATTTTCTTGGTAATCTTTCATCGTATTCGCTCTTTTTAGCAGGGTCAGATAAAACTTGGTAAGCCTCATTAACTTCTTTTCATTTGTTATCAACTTTAAAATAATTTTCCCGGCACGGAGTATCAGGACAAAAATAACGCTCACTTTCTCTATTAGGCACCATTCCACATTTGCCGTTTTGGCATTGTCAACCATTTTCTTCTAACATAATCCGCTTTCACTTATCCGTCATTGATTTGGCAGCTATTTTTTGGTAACTTTTTTTAATTTCTGCTTCCGAAGCCGTTTCGGCTACTCCCAGAATTTGGTAATAATTTAGCATGGCTTTTTCTTTTTAATTTTATTTTAAAGTTATCATTATATCACCGCTTTAAACTTCAATACAAACAAAATGCTAATCGCCGAAAATTTTTTAAAACATTGTAGTTGGTTGGAAATAACTAGAGGGTGGAGGGAGACATATTATTTGCGGCAAAAATTAATTGTCGCTTTTGTTCATTTTTTAAATTACTTTAATAATTATAGGGTGGTAAAAAATACGGCAAAATTTTTTGTAAGGTAATATGAAAAAAGAAAACAAATTTTTAAATCTCATTCGAGATTTCGGCAATTTTAATTATTAATCCCTTCCCATTTCCTTTTTTTAGTTTCTTAGTTTCATTTTTTCTAGGTTTTTGAAATTTTTTGTGCTTCTGTTGTCTTGTGTAAATCAGTATTTTGGGCTCTGCTTTCTGGCATATTTTTAATCTTTTCTTTGGTTTCGTCATCTTCTATTTCTGTGATGTATTCCAAGATATATGCTTCTATGCATTAACATTAATGTAGTTTATGTACTATACAGCATAACTATAACCATAACTTTTTCCCCAAATATAAATTAACCGAGCAATATCTTTTTCTTATCCGGTCGGCTCGTCCTTTGGCTCGGTAAAGTAGTTTTTTTAAGGTGCGGGCTTGATTGACTTCAATTTTGCTAAGAAAAAAATCGTTAGTTTTTTCTTGTTTGGACGTTAAATTTTTAGCGGCTCCTTGGAGTAATTTGTGGATTATTCGCCCGCCTTTTTTCGGCACAAAACGAAGGATTTTTAAAGCACAATCCAAATCCTTTTGCCGAATAAGTCGCATCACCAAAGCCATTTT